CTTATTAACTTTTTATTTTTCAATAGATGCGCATGTAAATTACCCGACATTGAATATTTAATCGGGTGTTGTACGAAAGGTTGTACAATAGAAAGTAATATTTAACTTTGTGTCACTTTGTTGATTATAACGATACGTGTATATACATATACAATTTAATCATTTTATATGATATGTATTTAAGTATCTTACTTCGGATGTATCTAATTTCATTCGCGTCTTTGCCATACAGACTATTTTGTACATGATATTTATGTAAATATTTGTATACTTCCATGTTACAGCGGACTATGTTTTCCCATATTTGCCCTAACGTTTATTAAAGATTATACACCGAATATTCAATGAATTGCCAACAATGAGGTATATTGCCTTTTAAACACTCTATAGTTTTTCAATATGAAATTTTTAAATCCTAATAATTACTTATAATCTTATACATAATAACATAATAAAAAAGTGTACAAAATGTATTATTAAGAAAAGGGTATGAAGAAAAGGAAATTTAAAATGGAAAATTTATTTTATTTCTGAATAAATGATTAAGTATAATACTTTAAATGCAAGAATAATAAATATTGATAGGGTAACTTAATCTAATTGTATAAAAATTTGCTTCGTTTAAATGGCCCTTCTAATTTTTTTTAATTGCCACCTAAGTTTCTAATTAACACGTTGGCTGCCACGAGAATATCAGCTGCATTTAAAATAATATTGTATAATGCTTTATTATACAAAATTAATTCTTCATATTTAAACGTATTTATTAATGATTTGGTATCACAGTAATCATGTTACAGTATTATCTAAGTACTTATACTACTAAATATTTTTATTCGACATCAAGCTTCGTATTGTAATTCTATTTAAGCAATTTGGAAGCTCCGGTTATCGGTGATCACCGTGGCAATCAACGCGTTAAATAAGTAAAAACATTATAGCGCCACTTTACAAAAAGTATGTCGTGTTGATTGATTAGTAATATAGCTTATTCTTTTTCATTTGCGAAAAATTATTAACTGTGACCTTATATCTGAGTTTTTTTATTTCGTCTGGTTGATTTGGTTGATTTTCAAATCATAAATAAAAATTCATAATTAGACTGCAGATATTTATGTAAATATAAAATGCGATATACATACACATGTATATGTGTACATGCAAAAAGGAATATGTAGAGAATATCTATGTGCATCATCAAAATATTAATTTTATTATTTTATTTATTATAATTTAAGGCTATAGCTATATATGTCGTGTAAGCTGTTGTAAATTAATGCTCTAAGTTGGTTTCCTTTAATCAATTAATCTGTACACTGCAAAGGTTAACTTATATTATAAGAAATTCTATGAATTTAATTGTTTGAAATTTCGAAACGTAATTACTATTAATTTTGAATAATACATTTTGTTATGTCGTTCTTCAGTTGTCAATTATTTTGACAACAGTGATAAGAGTGAATTGTAGACAATCGGTTGCATATGCACGAAAGATGCGGGCAATACACGGTATGCAGAAGATATACATTGTGTAAAATGCATTTTTAATGTACTCTAATGATAAAACAAATTCCTAACCAAATGTCGTTACTTTATCTATTTTCTGTAAAAATATGTCTTTTTGTATATATCCGCAGTCTATTCGTAATAAAGTGTTGGATAAATGGTCATTAAATATTTAATGTAAAATAATAAACGATTACCTTCTTATTGCACGCCAATTTCAATCAAATAATTAATATTAACACCAGTAAGATTATTTATTAGACTGCTCACTTTTATTCCATCTTGTTATTGCAAAGATGATTTTGCAAATTTCATCGATATTCGCACAATTGTGCTGCAAAAAATTGTTTGTAAAAAAGGCTAAATTGAAATAAATTAAACTTTTTATTTCTTTTTCAATTATAATAACATTTATTTTCTATCGCATAGAGGAGGTAGGGGAGTTGAAGAAGATAAAACTGAAGATGGCAAAGGGAGAGGATTTGAATGGAAGGAGAGGTCTTTTGGTATGGAGGGGAAGGTTTAAGGAGAAACGTATGGAAGATATGTGACAAGATATGGAGAGAAGCAGGTTGGTTGGAGAAATGGGAAACGGGCTTAATAGTGCCCATTATAAAAAAAAAGGAGAGGGAAAGAAGGCGGAGGATTATAGGGGCTGATACTAGTGGGGGCAGCGTACAAGGTACGTACAATATGAAAGTCTTGGAGAAAAAATTGGGTAGGGAGATGGTGAAGAAAAGGATGCTGTCTGAAAACCAGGCGGCATACAGAGAAAAAAAGGGAACAATGGACCACATTACTGTGGTGAATTATCTAGTGAATAGAAGTGGCGT